TGCAAACCCAACACAACTGTATAAACAAGAATATAGATTAATTTGATTTACAGATGTTGCACAGCAATATTTCTCTGGTAAATGAAAGGTTTCACTAAAGGGTGTTGGTGATGCACATTTTCATGTAGTAAAGGTTACCTTGAATCTCAGTTGCATCTGTGAACACAAACAATAAATTCTATATAGTGTAACCAGCCAGTTGGTTTATTAAACTAGGGGAAAAAAAAGATGTAGTGTTTATCTAGAAAACAGATGCAGTGCTTCATTTATATTGAAGGTCTGATTCAAAATGGGTATCAAAAGTTATATATCCTGAGGAGACAAATAGACCTTCTGGACATCTCTTAAACTCTTACTTAGTTTTGTCAAACTCTTTTCAATTCATGTTAACCACAATACCTCGAGCAAATTCTCTGCTTATGGTAATTATTTCCTGATACAAAGCTGTTCTTTTGAATAACAGTAGAGTCATTTTTTCAGTTCTGAAGTCTGAGGTATGTTTTACTCTCCAGTCTAAGGAAATGCACTGTGGATACAGCTCAGCACAGGAATATGGAAGAACTTTGAATGTACCTGCTTTGGTTTAACTTGATATATATTGTTAGTGTGGGAGAGCTTAATATGTGTACGAACACTAATTAATACATTTCTTGCCATTAATGATGTGGCTTGTCGGCATAAGGCTAGACATCACTGGTACTGCTTTTCTATGCTAAGAAAGCCATTGTAGCACAAAAGTAGACTCCTGCCTGTTTCTAGCTAGACAGGTAGAACAAGACCTGCCTGTCGTGTGTGGAGGCAAGTTATTTAAATTCAACCTCTGCTTGGTTCCTCTCTGAATGACTGATTGCTGACCTAAGTTCTCTCACTGATGCACAGGACGAAGATAAATTTTTACTATTGAATGGTATCTTTTTGAACCGTGCAGTTTAAGTGTTCACGTATCAAGGTTAACTTTGGTTATACAAATCGTGCTAGGGATTAGGCCATCAGAGGATTTTCTTTTGTCATCTTTGGCAAATTTCTGCAAGTAACAACCCTAAGGGGAAAAAAGTATGTATGCAGTGAATTGTAACTTAATATTTATTCAGTAAAAGTTGTACGCATGCTCAAGACACGTGCAACTTATTCAGGCAAAGAAACTGATACTGGAATGCTCCAAGAACGGATAGAGGGATGGAACGTATTGTCATAAGGACAAGTTGAGTTCAAGCCAGAGATGTTACAAGGGGGATGAAGAGATGGGTGTGAAGATAGAGCAGTTGAAGTAGGGTTCGAAATAGAGTCCAAGACTTCAGAGTGTGTTTGTTTTTTGTATTTTTGTGCTATCAGATGATGTCTATTAAATCCCCTTGAAAAACATTCTAGTTTGGACTACATGAAAGTTAACAGCTTTCTTCTGTTACCATTCAAGTGGAACCTTTAGAGTCATTGCCAGCCCTGCTGATGTTGAAGTGATACAGATGTTGAAGTGTTGTTAGATAATAGAAATGTTGCTTTTAAAAAAAACCCAAACCCCTAGACCTAAACAGAAAAGAAAAAGGGGGTGCAGACAAGCTCTTGAAAGGTTTGGTACACAATAATTCATTTGGGTTTTTTTACATTCACCCTGCGGCCAATATTTTTTTTTTTTAATCTTATGTTAGCATACCAGCTTATAACAAGGGGCTTTTTTCTCCAGATGAAAACCACAACATGGACACAGTCAGATAATGTACATGCACCTTATTTTGTATAAAATAGCAGCACTTTGAACATAGAATAGCTCTTTTTGGAGTGCATCACTTAAATTCACTAATACATAAGGCACTCAGTATTACTGATTTATTGAATAAGTATCCTTACTGCCATTTTACAAGTGGGATCCAAGGCAGAAAGATGAAGCTCAAAATTTATTATAATTTTGGATTCTTTAAGTAAGACAATTGGGGCCTTAGTTTTTTTTGTAACTAGTTAATATAGGGAAGCTCTGTGTTGTAAGCAGAGTGCTGATTGACACCAACTGTCCTAGGCTGCGAATCATTTGTCTAGGTCAGGCCTAACCTCTGTAGCCTAGCTTTTGAAAATGAGAAGTAAGCAGTTAATGATAGGTGCAAAGTTTGTCATCAACTTATCAGGGATCGTATGCAACCTCTGTGGCACAGAGAGAAAAAAAATCGGGATTTTTTTTTTTCTTATGGGCAGCATTCATATGAACCATGAAAACCCTTCTCTTCTTCTCCACCAACTTGATTTCCCTCCCTGCCCCCCCTCCACTTCCCAGCTTCTGCTACTCATCTGATTCTTCATCTAGTCTTGAAATGGCTGTTTTTAGTTGAAGTCTAACTTAAGCAGTAAATTCATCCTGTGCATTAAATGAGGCAGGCATGCTGTTGGAAAATGATAGACATATCATACAGAGATAAAGTAACAGCAACTGAAGCCTCAGGGTAGTTTAATTTCTGGTTTAAATTTATTGAAACAATACTGTAATTTAAATAACTTCTTGTGTGTTTATTATGCATTTAAGGTCAGCATGCTAGGACTCTCTACCACAAAATGTTGAAGAGTCCTATGGTAATGGTTCTGTGAAGCTTAGCAGATAGCTTACTAGAAAAACTTCGTCTGCACTTACTATAAAACTTTGCAGGTTTTCTTGAACAGTGAAGTTCACAACCCAACCCAAAAGTTAATGCACAGGGGGTTGCGTTGGTGGCATTTAACAACTTGCTGTAGTAGAATAAAAATCCATCTCTCTCTCAGGTATAGGTAATGTATTCCCTTCGTTCAAGAAGCTTGAAATAATTTATGGGTAGGATGATTCTAGTCAAAGACATTCTTAAGCAGCAGGGCAATCCACTGTTCCTGGTGACTGACAGATTTATTTCTGCCAGCGAGCTGCAAGTGAACCATCATACCTGATCTATGAACTCTTTGCTTAAATAGAAGAATATTGCAAGTGAGAATTCTTCATATTCATGAATATATTTAGGAAAAGATAAGATTTGTCAAACAGATAAGGAAGCCTTATTTTTTCTGTGGATGGGTGAATAAGGTAATCCAGGAAAAAAACAATACTCAACCATCTGAATGTCTTTTTGTTCGACTGTAACTTCTAACTTATTTTAAAAATGTAATGGCTATAAAAATGTTACTAGAAAAATAATCATGTTTCCATGAATGGTACATGTAGTTTCATGATCATATCATATTAGAACATAATTCTTTAGTTCAATGAATGGTTCAGAGAAATATTGCATGATGTGCTTTAGAATATAGATGTGGAAGAATGGATTTGATTTAAGGAATTATTAATAAACTCAAAACTTTCCTTTTAAAGGGAGCAAGTATATCGGAAATTAAGAAACAATACCGTGCGCTATCGCTAAAATACCATCCAGATAAAGGAGGAGATGAAGTTATGTTCATGAGGATTGCTAAGGCCTATGCAGCGTAAGTTTCTTTTTTACCTACAGAAAATGGGAACTTGATATTATGGGGAGGGAAACCTCTAAGGTAATAGCAGGGATGACCTAAGCAGCCAGGGAAAATGTGTTTGGATATGTAACGAAGGTCAAAACATGTCTTGGTTCAGTACATACTTGTTCTGTACAAGTTAGGAAGGAAAACTTAATTGTTTAGCAACTGTCAGAATATTGTAAAGTGTTAGGTCTTTGTATTAAACTGCCATGTCAGCTAGGAAAAATGTTTCCGGTGCGATACATACTAAATCTCAAAGATGACAACAAAATGGGTGTTGTGGTTTTTAACCAACTCGCAGCAATTCTGAAGCATTGCTTAGAAAATAAATATGCTGTTCACTTCACCTGCTGATAAAGCCAAAGAGTAAGAGACAATATTTTAACTCTGTTCCTGTGTAGTGACAAAGATGCTTCATTCTGGTTCTGACTCAGTTTTTCTCTCAGCTCCTCTGCGTCACTTTTCATTTGCACTTGCCTTGTAGTCCTGATTTTTCACTCAGTGACTGTTTCACATTACCTATGTAGTTTTTAAAAGCTGAATCCTCGAATCCTCCTTTCCTCTAGAGTATTTTTTGGCCTTACCTCTGCTTATAGCTTTTTTTTTAATCTGAGAGATGATGTGTAATATTAGAATTCAGTATAAAGGAAATCCCTCTTTGAATTTTTCCATAATCAAGATGCAGGCTTGGATTTTGTAATGCTATTCATACACGGAATGTTAATGCAGCTTTATATTCTTTACTACTCTAAATGATCATCTGTCAGAGTCCAATGCTCTCTGACCAGGCTCTGTTAGATATTCCGTGTGTGGAGCATGTAATGTTTAATATCTAATTTGCTTATCTGAAGACAGTTCATGTTACACATGATTTCTGATTTAGTGGAGTGATACATTTGCGTTGTAGTTTTAGTATATTTTGTGAGTTAGACTTAGCAAAATATAGCGATTTCAATACACAGTTCAATCACAATACCAACGTGATTCCTATTATCGGTCTCTCTAATGAGCTCACTGTCACGACACTGGGCATCCCCAGGTGCTGGGAAGGCATGTGTGGGTTGAAGCTAGCTCGAGCCTATTGTTCTCTTCAAAATTCTTTTGCTAGTGAGTGGTCTAGTTTTTATACTCCATGTCGGGCTGAGCCAGGTATGCATTCCCCCCATGCTAGTCTCGCAAACTCTTCATACTTTTCTAATGAACTCAAGCAGAAACGCTTACACTACCAGTTGGTCCACTCAGCTGTTGACAGGTGTTTATCTAAAACAAAGGCCGTGCTCCTATCGTCTTTGCACAGCTTCTTTGCAATAACTGTGGTGAGTCATTGTGGTCAGTCTGAGCTTCATGGCACATTGCCTTTGCCCATCCCCTCTGAGCTTTTTTCTATTCCAGGGGTTTATTGCTTCAGTCACATCATCAGAGAACCTGTTGGTGATACCTGCTTTTAAGTCAGTTGTGTATGACCTTACTGACTGTTTGAGTGTCCTGTTTGGGGTGAGGTGCTCTCTTGAGCTCATATTTTCTGCTTAAACACATCTGCATCACTATGAAAGTCTCTTCAATAGGATATTCTGGTATTGCTTTCTGAACTCCTGAAACATCTCGCTTCTTTGCTTTGCAAGCTAGCACTCAAATGCTTGGTGATACAGATTGATACTTCAAACACTAGTACAAGGGATGTGGCAGAGGCATACCTTGAAGTAAATGAAAGCCATGCTGTCTTGAAAGAATATAAAAGCTACCCATTCAGTGAGTCTGCTTGTTAACAGATGTGAGACTTAGAAATGATCAGGAGATGTCTGACTTGTTCCCTGGGTTTCTTCCGTGAGATACAAATCTTCCATATAGTGAATGGATGGTGTTCTGTTTCCTAAAGCAGTATTCTTCCTTCTAGTGTGAAGGATTCTGTTTGAGGTGGTATATTATTGCCAAGAAACTGTCATTCCAGAACAGGTATAGAAACTGTAAGATTTAGGAGGTAGTGTCTTAATTTATTTCTCTTCTTAAATATGAAACTAGGGAGTTCCAGGGAAAAAAACAACCACATACATGACATCAAAGGCTAAAAGTCTAGAATAAGAGAATTAAAAGCCCATATGAACAGCTTCTGCTGTATCAACTCATCTTGCATATTCACCTTCCTTCCAAAAAAAAGATAATGTTTTCAAACTTCAATTCTTTCAAAATCTGCTGTACTGTAACCTGGCATTTAAAAGTGCTCATTGATGGGCACACAGTCACTCTCATGAAAGGGAAATGTGATTGTTCCATCTCCACTGTGAGGGTGCACCTTCTATGTCTGAGTTGGGTTTTTTTGTTTATTTGTTATCAGAGTGCTAAAAGAATTCACCTGTGTATTATGAAGGAATACAGCAGTATTGTTTCATATCAGATTTCATACAAACAATAGCAGAAGCTGTTTAGCTTGTCACATCATCTCTGAAGGGTAGTATAAATGCCATATTTTAAAGTTTCTGTGTGTTCATGATTTAGAGAAGTTTCTGTGCTTCTGTATTAATTTAATATCTCCTCTTCAAACTAGCTTAACTGATGAAGAATCACGAAAAAATTGGGAAGAATTTGGTAATCCAGATGGACCACAAGGTAACAGTTATGAATGATAGAAGTCCTGTAGCTTCAGTGCATTGAGCTGTGTAATATCTGATAATGTGAGAAGCACTTGGATCTTAACATATCTGGAATATCTTTTTCCTATGATCAATTCCTTCCTTGTGAAACTGGCTCTGGGATGGCGGCAGGAGGGAAAGGCAGTAAAGAGTTTGCTTTTACGTTTCTCAAACTTCTTATTGTGGAAAAAAGAGAAGTATTTTTTTTAATTGGTCAGCTTCAGTAAGGATCTGGAGAGACTGGCCAATAATAAAAGGAGGTGTAAGAGAAAAATAGACTATTAGTCATGAGAAACGTGCTAATTTTAAACATTTCTTGGTATTTATAATTGGATGCTATAAATGTACGTTGAAAAACTAACAGCTAGCCATAATGCAGTAAACACACTTCAAAGGGATGTGCATGAGGATATGTATGTATTTAAATACTGTATGCGTATCTGCCTTTCATTTGCTGGAAGCAATGCTGTTTGCGTATAGCTCTATGTCACCTTCATCTTGAGGAATCCTGGTGATTATCCCTGTGCTGGTAGATTGTTCCTGAGCAGGTAGCTGGAAATTACCCTGATGGTGGTGTATTAAAGTTTTACAGTAGATGATCCAAACTAAAAAAAATAAAGACTGCAAGTTAATAATTCCCTCTGCATTTGCAGTTGCATGAGTCATTTAAACAGTGGTCACAAAGATGTTATACAAGTGGACTAGTTGTGAGGAAGAATATGTATATTTCTAGCTGCTTCTGATACTCATTACAAGCAAAAAGGAAACCTGCCATCTGTTAGGACAGGCCTCCATAGATAACTGCTTGTTGATGCCCTGCAGTTTGCTTGACTAAGTTATATTACATATCTACATGGAATGAGTTAAGACCAGCTTGGAAGTAATAAATAGAATTTGTAACTTCACAATTAAGTTATAAGATGACATGTGAGGGAACTCTGTGCTGAAAATTCTTCTGAATTATATTCATCCAACATGAGAAATTAATATTAAAGGGGAAAAAACGCCAGCCCCTGAACCAGTGTTTCAATGAAACATTCTTCCCTCTCCCTTCAAAAAAACCCAGCTGTGCCAACTAAATCATAGTCTGACAAAGGCATTTCTGAGGGACTAAGGTGGTGGTTCAGTTTCTTTAACTCTACTGTGTTTTATAGCATAGCAGATTTCTTTCAGCTCTTACCTTCTTTTGATTTCCTAGCCAGGCAAATAGGAGGACTCTCTCCCTCTAGCTACAAAATACAAATAAGATCTTGCTTCAGAAATGCTGTCACAGTATCAGTAAAATGGCACTGTAAATTTTAGCTTAGTATATGCACAAATACCCTTCCTAGGATGCTAAACTGTTTTTTACATCCACAGGCTATTAATTTAGTGTAGCCAATGCATAGGATTTCAAGTTAGGCAGTATGTCAGTGTCCTTGACCAGACTTGCAGCTGTGACTTCAGAAAAAAACTCAGCCAAAAGCTGAGGATTTAAAGGCACGAAGATCCTTGTGTGTAATTGACTCAGAGATCGCTTTCACAAACTTAAAGGGACTCTGGATTCCTGAAGGGAGAAGTGAAACGGTTCTTCGGTGGGGCAGCAGTTTGTACTATGAGTGTGAAACCTTCTCTCTTCTGAAATGCTAACTCAAACTACGGTGGAATTGGAGTTCTCTGCTTTGCTTCTAGATGTCATGTCGTCACTTCATCTGAAGGGTGGAAAGAAGCCTGAAATTTTCTCTCTCCCATCCTCTACTCTATAACCTTGTTCCACATTGAAGTGTGAGGAGCTAATTTAGTGAAATTCATCTTCTCTTCATTTAGGTGCTTGTAATGTAAAAATCTGTATCCAAGTTATGTACTCTTTTTTTTTTAGTGTTGTGTAGTCAAAGAATGGGGACAGTCCCTTATAGAGGTATATTCTGGGATGAGGTGAAGCACATCTGGTGCTAGACAATGAGGTACATCCCAACTTCTGTGCCCAGCACAAGGGAACAGCAGGCAGTATTCCTCGCTATCCGAGGGAAGCACCGTGGAGGTTAGAGGCAGGCAAACAAGATTTTCATGTCTTCGGCATGACTTGCTCATTTACTAAAAGTAAAATACTGAATGTGCAAAATCATCTGGAGAGTGTTTAAAAGGAGATGAGAGGACCTGGTGAGTAAAAAGATATGCTTTTAATAGTGTAAGGCAGTTTTAGTAGACTCTGTCCCTTTGGTATTTGCTAGTGCTTCAGCTCAGCGAGCATGGATGGGGGCAAGGAGACTCTCAGGCCGGAAGAGAAAGAGCTTTGTTCTGAAGTACTTCTGTTCCTGGAACAGTTTGAAGCTATAATCCTAAAGGTCAAAAATATTGTGGGAAACTGGAATTGATACCACCAGTAAAAGCACATTACGTTTTTAGTAGATTCTTCTAAAAATCCATAACCATTAGTAGGTAGGGAAGTGTCTCCAGACTCTCCTCCAGCGTGGGGCATTTCCTGTAACTTAATGTGGTAAATTCACTGGGTGTTATTCTGTTGAACTCCTAAGCTTGAGGTGTGGTCAGGTTGGTCAGATGTTTAATTTGAGTCTCAGCAGACAGTAGTTTCCAATTTAACTACGTAGAAATCATGTTAAGCTTGTGCAGAACAACTGACTGTCTGAATTGATGGCTGTCATAATCTGTTGGAGACAGTATCAGAATAGTATCTAAGTACATAGTCTGTCCTTACTTAAGGCAGTATTCCTCATTGATACCTGCTAGTACTGAGGAAAGCATGCTTTTTTTTTTAAGCAGGCCTTAGAAATTTGTAAAATCTTTTTTTTTTCTTTTTTTTTCTTTTTTTGGTTTTCAAAACTTCTAGTGTTGGGATAGGTAGTGTTTGTGAAGTTCAATTTATTACCACTAAAGTGTCTGAAGACAAGCTATTTTATGCTATTGTGTATTCAGATCTGTGTACTGTCGATGTAACTGTTAGAGAATCATATTTTCTATTTTCTGCAGCCTAACTCCTTTTGAATCGACAAGTTTTCCTTTCTCTTTCTTACCAATCGCACAGAAATTTGAACTGGCAGAGGATTTTGTTTTTACAATGTACAGCTTAGAACACTTTCCTAAAGTTAAAACTGATAAAACTTTCTCCATAAAATTCATTTGCTCAAAGAGGTTTCTTGCAGTTCATGTATTTACTGATCTATATGTATTTAAACTGTAGAAAAGTCTGCAAGGCAAAGCTCAAATCTTTCCATCTGTGAAATCTTTTTCTTTTTGTATATTAATAAATCTTGCATATCTATTTCACTGCAATATGTTAAGTTAAAATCTTTGACTTTTTAGATGTTGCATTTAAAGTCTTGTTTTCTTATTGCATATTTGAGTGTATTTCTATTTGTTTTTTGATTTTGCTAAATTTGTTACAATTTTGCTTATCGAAGTGATAAACGTGAATATTTTTTGTGGGTTGGTGGTTTTGTTGGGGTTTTTGTTTGCTAGACTTAAAATATTAAGGAATTATTTTAATAGTGAATTTCTTTTCTTTCATCCTACAGCTACAAGCTTCGGGATAGCTTTGCCAGCTTGGATTGTGGATCAGAAAAATTCAATTTTGGTGAGTCAGCTTACATAGCTCAAGACTTTAAGATGAACATTCAAGTGTTCACCTTAAAATGTTTGTACTTAATACTGCACATTTTAGTCAAAACATGTAGTTAATAATACTTTGGTCCAAATGTACATCTGAAGCAAATTTCAGGAGTCAAAAGTGTTGGAGTAGCTTAAATCTAACCTTTAAGAGTAAAGTGTTAATATGCTTAGAAGGATCTCATGGCAATAATGATGAGGTTGTACTCTGGTCACCCCTGCTAGAAAGCGTGCATTTGCTGTTGCAAGGAAGCATGTATAGAACTGCTTGTTTGCTGGTGTGGTGGGTTGACCCTGGCTGGG